TGCCACGGTTTAAAATACTGAGATACAGTAGACAAGACTGACAAGGCTTTTGTGGACATTGAGTAGAAGAGACTAACTGCTCCCCCCCCCCCGAAACAAAAATAAGCACAAGAACTATGAGACTGGGCAAAGGTGGTGGAATCTCACAGGTAGGGAGGGTGGGATTGTCTGCCTCGACTGACTGGGAGGTGGAAGGTAAAACATGCACTCAGCTGAAGCATCACCATACCCCCCCCCCCCAGCCCCATCTTATAAACTTCTCTGGCCCCTAGCTCCATCCTTTTCTTCTCCAAGGATAGGAAGTGAGCTATCAGGCTGGGGCTGGAACCAAATGTGGGCCCAGGCTCCTCTGGATGGAAAGTAGATTCTACGGTGTAGAGGGTAAATTAATGCAAACTTTGAGCTTTTTCTTCTTCCCACAGACAAGGCTCTTCGGGCTCAGAATGGTTCCAGTCATGAACACTAAGGGCTACATACACTAAGGAACAGGGCACCAGGGAGGTGGTAAGTCCCTCTGGCTCTCACTCTGTAACTGTTATTAGCAGCATAAAAATTCTGGCTTCCACCTGCCTTCTGCCTTTTGTCTTATTTCCATTGGCTCAGGACTTGGGAAGAAAACTCCTTTAACTCTTTTAAGATAAAAGTTTTCATATGAAAACCTTCTCCTTTCCCAACAGACCTTAAAACTAAATTAGGAATCACTCTCCTAATCTATCAAGCTTGTCACTTTAATGAAACCCCCTACAAATCTCTGATTTAATGGCTCCAAAGACAACCGCTAGACTGAGAAATCTGGCCCCAAATGCAAATGCTGTGACAGGGAGTGCTGGGGGCAGGGTGGGAAAAAAAAAGCTTACCTTTGTGCCAGTGTGAAGCATTATCCACACCAGCGTGTGGTCAAGACTCACAATGGGGAGAGGTGGAAAGGTAAGTCTTTAGATGCTCCTGATTTGAGACTTTATAGCTACATTTAAGAATATACACTGAGAATTTCCTAAACGTATCTTTTCTTTAAAACTTTCAAACGAACATGTGAGTACATTTACACACGTGCCTCACAATCCTTGGGAGACAGGGTGAGGCTATGACATCATCATGAGCAAATGGCATGGCATGGGAACTACCACTGGGCTCCTTGCACTAGAGAAATTTAGAAAGCCCGGGAGGTGGGAGAGGAAGAGATGCATTGATTCTAATATTAAAAGGCTTCCTTTCAGCCTAGAAAGATGTTCAACCTCTCCCTACCCCCTCCAAAAAATAGTAATCAAAAGAAGAAATGCAGGGTTGGTATCAAATGCATGGCCGAGATTTTTTAAAATGCTTCTGGAGATTAGGTGTGGGGCACATACCGGTGACCCTAGTCCTTGAGGATGACACAGGACATCTTCAAGTTTGAAGTCAGTCAATGATGCTACTGCAATGATGCTAATTGCCAACTCAGTAGGTGGACCTTTGGGTACTTGTGGGTGTTTGTCTGGATTCTTAGTTGATGTGGGAAGACCCATCTTGACACAAATAGGACTTATCCCTGGTCAGGTCAGAGTGCGTGTATGTACGCTCTGGCCTCTCTGATTGTGGATGGAACATGAACAGCTGCCTCAAGCATGTGACACCTCACCTTCCTTGCTTGATGGGTTGTGTTTTGAACAGTGAGCTAAAATAAAGCCTTTCTTCCTTGGGTTGCTTTTGTCAGAGGATTTTTATCATGGCAATGGAAAACGAAAAAAACAAAAACCAAAGACCTAGGACAATTACATGGTAAACCTCAGGCCAGCTTGGCCTGTCTTATGAGACCCCGTTGCTTCCAGAGTCTAGTGGGAGAAGCATCAGCCTAAGCCAGAGTGTTTCCAACACATGTGAAAGATGGAGAATATCAGAGCCTAAAGCTCCAAGGGCAGAGCAGTGGTGGCACTTCAGCTAGGATCTGTGTCCCTAGCAGAAACTTGTGGAAGGAGAGGAATGGGTGGGTACCTTATTTCTTTGTGTAGCCCTGTACCTGTCACACAGGTCTACAGCATGTGACATGAACTCTCTGGATCACACATGGCTGTCAATGCCTACCTTCCAGCCAGGAAAAGCTGACTGTTGTATACAGGAATCTCGGACTTTGCCATGACCTTATGACAGAGTTATCCTACCACAGAAACAAGGCAACACATAAGTGACTTGCTCTCAAGCACTAATGTTGGGAGGTGCTCTCTCTGCTGAAGAATGATAGCATGGGCATTGCCTTCCTCCTTGCCCAGTTCCAGGCTGGATAAGGACACCGGAAAGTGTTAACAGCAGAGTTAGATAACAAGGAAGACAGAGTGCAGATTCCCCACACTATCAAAGACTCCAGGAAGGGAAAAACGAGAGGGAGACAGGCAGGAAAATGAAGGAGGCATTATGGCAATCCTGGGTTTGCCCAGGATACATTGGCTGCTGCAAGCATTATATGTTTTTCTGGCTGCACAGATATGTTGCTATGGAACCAATACGTGCCACTGCCATTTGGCCTCTAGCAAATAAAATTTCAGTGCTGGCAAGAGCACTCCACTGGATTTCCCTTAAAGGGATACCGTCTACACTAAGTGCCATTATAAATTGAGTGTAGCACCCTTCCAGAGCTCTAGTCCTAGACACAGCAAGACATAGAACTCAGCCACTCATGTTCTACAGGGCGAAAGAAAAATTGGGACCCGTCCCTGATGTACTTTGGATTGTTACTTTTTTCATTCAAAATGTAGTTTTATTTCATGGGGAAAACACACACAACAAAACAAAATAAAGCAAGCAAACAAACAAACAGAATCACCTTGGGGCAACGAGGAAAAGGGGTTCCAAACTTTGTGTACCCCAGATGAATGAAGTATGTCAGCAGGATTGTTCCTTTTTAGCTTTGGTGTTGGGTGGATCCTGGAGTCTTATTCCATATGCCCAGTAACCCTATTCTACTGAGCTCCTCCATAGCCTCATGCTTCTTCTTAAGCTAAAAATTCCTCCCACCCCCACAAAACACTCTTGGCTTTAGTTTGAATTCACCTTGCATCTAATTGGTAAAGAACAAGTGGCTTATGATGTGCTACGTAATAATCCCTCCTGACCGTCAAGATCAAGCTACTGATGACTCTAGCGAAAGAGCAAGTCCTTGCAACTCTACTGTGTAAGTTCCAGGGGTTTTGCTTGCCTCTTTCCACAGTTGTTTGTTTGGTCTTTGGCCTTAGATCTTTGTCTACAATGTCATTCTTTACCCAAAGAATAATAACAGTGTAGATATAGTTTGCCACGTCCCCTCTTAGTTGTCTTTTAAGTTTAGTCTAGTCAAAAGCGTGATTCTACAAAGACCTTTGGATCTTGCAGAGAACAACACACCTTCATGTCCACTACATGTACACACACACACACACACACACACACACACACACACACACACACACACACACACGCTTGCATGCATGCATGCATACATACATATATACATTTTCTATAAACATGTATTGATTGCCAACTTGACAAGATTTAGAATCAATGAGGAGACACGCCTCTGAATGTATTTGGGAGAACGGTTCCAGAAAGGTTTGACTGAGGAGGGAAGACCCACTCAGAATGTGGGGAGCACTGTTTAATATGCTGGAATCCCAGACTGAATAAAAAGGAGAGTGAGCTAAGCAATGGCATTCATATCTCTCTACTTACTGACTGTAAATATGATGTAACCATCTGCCTCATGCTAGCTCCTAGCTGCAAAACAGATGTGTTAACCAGTTTCAACATGTGACAGCATAGCACTACAAAAGCAGAGGTTTGGAAAGAGCATAAAAGGAAATATGCAGTCATGTAGCTCTTTAGTCTGAGTTGAAAGAGCCCCCTCCCCAAAGGGAAGAGAAACTCAATGACTCAGGAAGCTCACTAAACTTACAGGATTCACAGCCCCCTTCATGCAACTATATAAGCAGTAAATAGATTCTGGGTGGGGAAGACCTTTCAGGTAGCCCTATGCTGCCTGCAAGCTGGGCAGGGAGCTCCATGGATGAAGATTTTGTGTTGTCACCCATGCTGGAGTGACTTTTTGGTGGCACAGCTGCTGGAATCACCTGTTTCTCTAAGAACCCCCTTCCCTACCTTTCTTTAAACCAGCAAACTCACTGGTCCACTTGGCTGGATTCAGTTCTTTGCTGTGTCCTTGCTGCCCTCTGGAAGGTGAATAGATATTTGTTTACATATTCCTAGGCAGAGTTATGCAAATATGCCCATTCCAAATATTCTGTACACATCAGATGGTTTCTGGAAGTACCTACCCTGGCAAGCCTTCTTGGTAGCATGAAAACTATGAAGCCAAACAGCACTACTTTAGCATCTGCCTTAGGGAAACAGGCCATTATTATTATATTAGTGTTTTATTTAAATTAAGTTATATAAAGAAATCTATGCTCTTGGAAATAAGCTGTGGCTGAAAAACAATCATCTCTCCACAGGACCACCAGCTAAGAGTCAAACTCCATTCTCACCCTGCTGGCTCTGCTACTGTCTATGATGTCACAGGTCTCTTGGAGCCCACTGGGTCCCAGCTATCTCATCTGCACACAGGGACTTTCCCAGATAGCCTGGGAGGTCCCATTGACTGCATATAACCTATTGCTCTTTCTCATGGCACTCACAAGAAACAGCCATGTGAACCAGACACAAAGTCTCCCCCTGCCCACAACCTTATCTCTATATACCAGTCACTGAAGGAAAGACACTTTCGCCATTGGCCTCTCTGTGAGCTGTACAAGGTAACAGCAGCCATGAGGGTAGCTCTTGAGAGGAGACTTGGGGACAGCAGGAAACAGCAGAGGAAAAGCTCTGAGCAAAGCAATCTTTTCCAGGAGAGACCCCGGCAAATGAGTTAGAGGACAGAATGAGTCTCTTGACTCCCCAGCCTGCCTGTTATCAAACACTTGATCCTGGAACCTCTCAGTATCAAACACCATTTTGACGTGGACAAAAATAGATGGTACATTTAAAGGCTCACTCACCCTCTGCCAACAGTGGGTTGGTTTCTTCTCAAGAAGAAAGTTTTGGTCTAATTTCTTTGGAAAACTGAAAGAGAAAAAAAATAGATTTCAAAAACAACTGGGGAGCCTAGTTGCTGAATCAGCACAGGTCGGTGGGTGGGGAGGGAAAGTACATTCGTGATTAGTAGATACACATGGTGATGTGAATTTTAAAACTCCTTTCAACAGTCAATATACAGAAAACCATGTATTTGCGGTTTATTTAGCATGAGCTATATGACCCTTAGGATAAGGTACATACATTTTGGTATGTGGGAAATATTTTTAGGTGGGTCTTTTAAAACTTCCCACCTTCCTCATTCATTGCCTTTTGTTTTTTTTTTCTCCCAAGTGCCACACCTTAAAGCCGTGACCCACAGCCATCTGTATCTAGGTTGGCATGGAACACAGACTTGGCAAGACGTGATACAGGCCCCCGATCAAGCCCACTGAGTAACACTATGCAGAGGCCACAAGTCTCTAGTGCTAACTGGTCCAACCGGCTGTGGGAAAGACCCAAGAAGATTCTTAGCCAGAGGAAGGCTGAATGATAGAGACAGATAGGGAGTGAGAGCAGAAGAGTTCCAGCTCCATTCCAGCCCAAGTGTGCTTCTTAGCTCTGCCACCCGGAGCTAAGTGACTCCAGCCATGGGGGCCCTCTGAGTTTTCCTCATTTGCATAATGCCAATGATGATAGCAGCTGCTGCATGCCTCTCTGCGAGTATCACTGCCACACCAGGCAGGCGGGGGAGACAATAAAAAGAATGGCCTTGATTACCCTTTAGCTCTACACATTCCTGTATCTGTAACAGGAGAGCTGGAGATGGAGTTTTGGAATCTAGCTAGATAGGAGTACCCACACTGTGTTGACCTTCTCCCCACCTACCCCCAATCTGATGAGACAAATGAGAACAAATAAAAGTGTTTACTATACAACAGTTACACGATATAGATGAGGGCTCAAGAGACAGAAATCAGAAAAATTCCCACTAAGAACCAATATTAATATTCTGATTACACTCTACTTTCTTCCCAATGCCCATGAATACATACATGCATTTGAAATAGAAATAAACCCAGGCATGCACATATAATTTAGTTTAACATGTTTCTAACATGGTTTTAGGGTATTCATATCGTTTTGCCAACTGATGCTTTCAGATGATATACTAAAATCCTCTTTTATTGCCAATACATTTATCTACATCTAATTATTTTTGGAAACAGGACTGTCAGATAGCCCAGGCTAGCTTTGAACTTGGTATATAGACAAGAGTGACCTAGAGTTCAAGTTCCTTCTGCCTCAACCTCCAGAGTGCTAGGAATACCAGCCATTGCACCTACTTTATTCAGTACTGGGGATCAACCCCAGAGGCTCACGCATGCTAAGCCAGCACCCCACCAAGTGAACTTAGCCTTATATCAAAAAAATTTTAAAGGACTTCAAGATATTGCTTTGGGAGAATCAGGCAATACATATTTATTTGTTGAACGTACAGAATCCAATCATGTATCTGTATTTATAAGAAATGACTGCACAGTATAGCTGCCTGTGTCTTCCTTCCCTCCTCTGTTTTCAAGATTGGGAAAGGCCAACTTCTTAAATATAGTAAATTTTAACAGCAACAATTTGTTTGGGTTTGAGTGGGTGAGCTCAGAAGAATACAAACTGGCACGTATGCCCTGGGGAATGAAATCATAGCTCACAATTTCCAGTGAGCAGCTAGAAGATGTAGACAGGGGTCTAGAGATGACAGGCAATGGGAATGCTTATTAAAGAAGGAAATCCTAAGTCTAACATTAAACAAATGTCCCTGTTTTCCACCCTATCATGGTAGAGTGATACAGAGATGAAGTGATTGGGTATTGCAGGGTTCTGCGTAGCCCTAGAATTAATCCACACTATTTGGAGTTCAATATCTATGAAAAGGACATTGGAACAAAGCCACAAGAAGGTATCAAACATGGAACTACTTGCACAATGTCAATGTCTTTCTCAAAGAGAATAGTTGATTTGATAAAACACACCTCCCATTATCAAGGCAGTGCCATAACTCTAACAATGACCAGCCACATTTCAGACAAAGGCCACTAGAGAGAGTATACGCCTACAGTTCTCCAAGGGAGTTGACAACTCCACCTCCAGTTACAAATGCAGTCAGTCTTCTAAAAGTATTCCTGACACTGTTATGACCAGCAGTCAAGAAGTGGAGATGAGAGGCTAGCAGGGAGCAGCAGGGAGAGATAGAGTACAATGAAACACTGAACGATCAGGAGAAGCACATGAATGAGAAATAAAGTTTTATTTGTGAAACCGGAGTTCACAGGAGATGACAAGTGGGAGCCAACGGCGTGAGTCCCCTTGTATGATGATTAATGGATCATCCATACTGTCTATTGGATACGACTAAGAAATGCCTAGGGCACGAGCGAGTCATGCCATGGCGTTCCTGTGAGTGCATTTTCAGGAAGGGTTAACTTGGGGGAGAAGACACACCCTGAATATGGGTGATCCCTGTGGTGAGGGGGGGAGTGGGGTGGTTCTTGACTGAATAAAAAGGCTAAAATAAGGAGAAAGCCAACTGAGCTTTCTCTGCTTCCTTACCCACCCAGATGTGAGCAAGCAGCCTCGCATGCCTGCAGCCACGTCCAAGCTCCTCCACCCCTCCCTGCCCCCAGTGTGCACCATGCCTTCCCTCCTACAATGGTCACACTCTGAAACTGTGAGCCAATATTAGCCCTTCTCCTTTAAGTTGCTTCTTGTCAGGTGTTTGAGCTCAGCAAAGAGAAAAGTGAGTAACTTCCCTCAATAGTTTCAGCTCATGCAATCTGAGCAACAAATCATGGTGGCAGACCTCCACTCTTCTGCTTTGACCATGTGAAGAAGAATCCAAAGGATGAGATAAGAGCTCAGGTACCAAACCTCCAAGAGCCTCTTTCTGACAACACACACCAGGGCTTACAATGTCAGGGAAACTGAGCTGAATGGCTCGCCACGAATCTTCAGTGGGTGCGATCCAGGCGCTAGCTGGTGAGATGTCTCTCCCTAGTAGTGACCTTCTCATAGGGATGGAGTTTTGCTTTGCTCCATTTACTTTCTCAGGGACAGAGTAGCAGATGGTCAGTGTGTGTTGTATAGTGACTCGATTGTGCATTCAAAAGGGAGTACTATATAGACATAGGTTTACCTTCAAAGTGCCCTTCAGATGCTCTGAAGGGGACACAGGATGGGTCATACATAGCAGGTTCTGTCTCTGCAGACCCAACCCCCAACCAAGTAAAGCTGATGTAGATCCTAAGATGCTCACCTAGTTACATGGCTCTGATTTTGTCAGGAAACTGCTGGTGTGATATGCTCCACAACTGGAGTGAGTGTGAGGGATGCTGACCTTTGGAAGCACCGTCTTGTATTTGCTGCACTCTGGACCTTAAATGTCCTCTAAAGACCCTCAGGTTGAAGGTCCCCAGAGTGATGCTACTGAGAAGCGATAGAGCCATAAGAGGCAGGAAGTGGAAAAAAAGTTGTCAGGGCACTGGCACATACCCTAGAAGAGGACCCTGGGAGCCTATCCTTCCTATCCTTGGCTATGAGGTGAGAATATCAGCTCAGCCCTGATATCAAACCATGTTATTTTGAGTTGCCAAAGGTTCCTTCCACAAAGGGAGTGATTGATCACAGATTGATACCCCCAAAACTATGAGCCAGCCTAAACCTTCTCTTTTTATAAGTTGATTATCTTGGATGCACGATACAGTAACAGAAAGTTGGCATATCATGTCATATCCTCAGAGAAAGCACCAGCTCCTTACTGTTGGCTCTTACCTTTTAATCAGCAGCTGATTTCTGCTGGCAAAGGTTAGCTCTCCTTTCTATCCCAAACTAAGTCTCTCTATTAGGAAGCTCTATTGGCCCCATTGCACAGACTAGAAAATCGAGGCTCAGGAACACATCAGTGACAAAGCTAAGTTTGTCAGTTTCATGAGCAAAGGGGAAAGCTGAGTTTCCAGCTCCCTGCAGTATGTTTTTTGTTTGTTTGTTTGTTTGTTTGTTTGTTTTTGTCAAGTCTCCACACACTAGCACTCTGACAGACACAAAAAGTAAGAGCCAGCTGTCACTAAGTCAGCAGACAGTCCTTTTCCAGGTAATTATTTTGAGGGTAAGCAAACGAGAGTGGCAGGGGACATTATCTACAGCACTCAGCGAAGAGTCTTGCCTTAGCGGCCCAGTGGGTGCTAGGCAAGCGCTCTCCAGGCAGAACAACGGGGCCTAAAGTGCTGACAGTTGCATAGACACAAAATGTAGCCCTGGCAAGTGAGTCTAACAATTACTGTGCATCACTTTGATTATGAGCCACAAGCATGCAATCAACAGCGGAGAGACAGTCCTAAACGATCCCCATCAGCATTTCACTTCAGTTATCAAAGCGAGGCGGATGAGCACACTTTCATCTGACCTAAGCACAACGCTGATAACCCAAACACGAAGAGCACACAACAGCAATGACAGCTGGAGAACACGCCACGGTGGTGGCCATCATGTGTAATGCATGAACCTTAGTTAATTCAATGCTTTCATTTATTACCTCAGGGTAAATAAATATTACTTATGTATTCCTCGTCTAATAAAGTCATGTGTACAGGCAACCCAATTTAAATTAAGAAGAGATTTAAGTCAGTGTTACAGATTCCCTAAACTCTATGACATGCATGTTCCTAGAAGGACTTTGATATCTCGTGCTAAATGTTGTGAGTCTTCCCTTGAATTATGGTTCAGCTTTGACAGTCTAAGGTTTATCGTATTTATTTCTATATTCTCATTTCCTAGGCACTCAGCGCTGGCCTTTATATTGGGAACTGAACAATCTGCAGGAAGGAATGCATTTCTACAGCATCATAAATAAAGAGGTGTGTGAATCCAAAGATGACTTCAGGTAAGAGACGTTACTAGCATCTCACAGGGTGACTTCCAAATTATGAAATTTGTCTAAACTGGAAAAGATGATTGCAAATATATGCTGTGACAGTTAGTGGAGATCTGTTTTTAGG